CTCCCCCCACCCTCCTCTTTCTCGGCTGGAGCGCGGACACCCCAGGCCCCGCCCCAAAAAAGGTTTTCCGGCTAGACTCTGGAGGCGGAGCCAGCTGTGGCCGCGGGAGGCCTCCCAGGGCGACGACGACGAAAGTGCGTCGTCGTCGGCACTTTCGCCGTCGTCGTCGTCGGCGGCGTTTTCGTGGTCGTCGCTGTCGCTGTCGCTGTCGTCGTCGTCGTCGTCGCCGTCGTCTTCGTCGCCGCCGCCGCCGAGATCACCTGGGCCCAGAGACTCCCCCAGACGTGGGTCCTGGATCCCCAATCCTGAGCCGTTTGCGAGCCGCACGGGCGACGCAGAGGAACGGACCGGTCTTCGCAGACGGTGGCGCGCACGCCGCCCGAGCGAGGTCGCCGGCGTAGGTGCCCTCTCTTCCAGTGCAGCGCGCAGCGCCGGTGGCCCGCGTAAGCTGCTGCGGAAGGTCGTGGAGGACGATCAATGGAGAGGGAGCACGTTGCCAAATGATTCCCAGGTGTCTCAAGCATGCAAAAACCTGTTCGAAGCATATCAAAAACATGTTTAAATCGCGTTTAGAGCACTCTCCGACATCTTGAACACATTCGCAATTCAAGGATCGGATTGTTAGGGTGTCCATTGTCGTGGCATCCACAAGCTTCAGGTCGGCATGCCAGCTCGAGCACGACCGCTCTCCCTTCGTCGCTCACGCGGGAGTCCGGCGCGCGGTTCAGGCCTCGCGCTCCCCGCCATGGCCCCCTCGGCGCCGTGCGGTTGCCAGCACGGTTGCGCTGTGCGCGTCGAGGGCTGTGCACCCTCGCGAGGACGACAGCGACGACGACGATGACGAGGCGACGGTGATGGCCACGACGAAGATTATATCTCCGACGAGGAGCAAGATTGTGGTGACGATGAAGGCGACGACAAAGACGACGACGAGGACGGCGACTGCGACAGCGAAGACGAGGACGACGACAAGACGACGCCGAAGACGACGACGAGACGACCACAGCGACGACGAAAACGGAGCGGTCAACGATGACGGTGGCGGCGAGCGACGACTGCGGCGACGACGACGATGACAACGACAGTGACGGCGACGGCGACGACGATGTTGTCGACGACGACGATTGCGACGACGACGACGCCGACGACGACGACGACGACGATGACGACGACGACGACGTCGCCGCCGCCGCAGCCGCAGCCGACGACGACGACGACGACGACGTCGCCGCCGCCGCCGCCGCCGCAGCCGACGACGACGACGACGGCGATCGACGATCGACGACGACGATCAACGACGACGATCGACCGCCGGACCTTTCCAGGGGTGCGGTCTGACCAGGATTTCGACGCGAATGCGCCCGTGGCGGCGAGAGGCCCCGCTGGCACCCCAGACGGCTGAAGAGCACCCTCACCTGAAATTAAGTCGGGCCTGCCCCTCTACCGGGGGAATATTCAAAAATAGTCAAAGCATTGGTCCGGGGACGATTTTGTTGCCCATTCTTGAGCATTTTGGCAATCTTTGGGGGGTATGTTTGATTTTTCGTCCAAGATTCCCCTGTAGACCCGAAATTATTTTGGCAATGATGGCAATATTTTCGGGGACACGCCCGACCTAGACCCAAAATCCTCGAGCCTCGACCGTCGGGCCCTCGAGCCTCTCGAGCCTCTCGGCCCTCGGTCCCCCGAACCTCGGGGACCCCCGAGACGGGCGGAGGACGCCCCAGAACCCCTCGATCCTCGAGCCTCAGACGGCCCTCGATCTTGGGTCCTCGACCCTCGAGCCTCCGACCCTCGATTCTCGAGCCTCAGACCCTCGCCCTCGATTTCTCGAGCCTCAGGCCCTCGATTTTGGATCCTCGCCCCTCCAGCCTCGCTCCTCGACCCTCCAGCCTCGCTCCTCGACCCTCCAGCCTCGAGCCTCGACCCTCCAGCCTCGAGCCTCGACCCTCCAGCCTCGAGGACTCGACCCTCCAGCCTCGAGGACTCGACCCTCCGGCCTCGAGCCTCGACCCCTCGGCCTCTGAGCCTCGAACCCTTGGATCCTCCAGCCTCGACCCTCGGCCGCCGGATCCTCGATCCTCCGTGGGGTGGGGTGGGGGCGTTCTCCTCCGCCCTCTCCGCTCTTCCTCCCTCTCCCCATCCCGCCCTCCATCTCCCTCTCCTCCTCGTCGTCGTCGTCGTCCTCCCCGTCCTGCTCCTCCTGCTCCTGCTTCTCCTCCTCCTCCTCCTCCTCCTGCTCCTGCTTCTCCTCCTGCTCCTCGTTCGGCCCGCCCGCTCGTCACAGACTTGTACGCGTCGGCCTCGAGACCTCGAGACCTCCTCCTGCTCTTCCTCCTCCTCCTCCTCCTCCTCCTCCTCCTCCTCCTCCTCCTCCTCCTCCTCCTCCTCCTCCTCCTCCTCCTCCTCCTCCTCCTCCTCCCCCTCCTCCGCCTCGGGGGAGGGCCGGCCGCCAGGTACAACGAGCTCGCCAGCGCGGAGGAGGCGGCGGAGGAGACAGGCGCGCCCCCCCCCCCTCGTGGGCGGGGTCCGGTCGGGGGGGGCCGCTCGGCGGGGGTCGCGGCGGCACGGGGCGGGGCCGTGGCGGGGCCCAGCCCGACTCCACCGATTCCGCTCGACTCGATCTCGACGGCTTACGATTCCGATTCCGATGCCGATTCGACTCGGGATTTCTCCGACTCGGGTCGACTCGGTCTCGATGGCTTCCGATTCCGATGCCGGTTCTGACTCGGGATGCCGATGTGGGTCCCAATGTGTTTGTGTGTGTGTGTGTGTTTCCAGATTTCCGCCGATCCGATTCTCATGGTGATGGGTGCACTTAAATTGCTGAAGCGGTGGTGCTTCGTGACACTCTGCTCACCCAGGAGTGGCTGCGTGTGCCAAGCGCTCAGGGCCAGGACGCCTGCGGACGTGCCGACTTGGCGGCCGACGTCCGCCGATCCGATTCTTTCCCGTCGCGGATCCCACTCGGCGATTCAGTCCTGGGATCTCCTGCCCTCGGCTGCTGTTGACAGCATGGTGGGCGTTTCGTATGTCGCTTGGTTTTGTGTGTTTGCCTGTGTTTTTTTGTGCTTCTCCGTGTTGTTCAACTCTTCGGTGCTCGGCCGACCCGATCGGAAAACGAAGCAGCAGTCCAGCACGCAGCGAACCAGGCGGCAGGGCATACCGGAGCCGAGCCGAAGACGGCGCGAGCGAGAGTCCCAAAACGGAGAACACAAACAAGGGGTCAAACACTGAGGTCCGACGAAGGCATCTATACACCACCACCGTGCCAGGCCAGGGCCATCCTGGGCCGCAGGATGGTGTATAGGCCCTCCTGGCTCGGCCAGGAGGGCGCATACACTATCCTAGGGCCCAGGATGGCCCTGGCCTGGCACGGTGGTGGTGTATAGATGCTTTCTGCATATGAGGACGCAAAAGTGCCGATCTTGAAAGCGAAGACGGAGCACCATGACAGTGGAGACCCATGCCAACCAAGAAGCACCCTGCTTGCCTCCAGGGTGCCCTGGATTTCTTGGGTTTCGATGGCTTTGCGACGGACAGCGCGACGCTCCCACACCAAAACTCACGGGAGGTCCTGGGGTCTCAGGGTTGAGTTTCTTGTGGAAGATTTCTTGTGGACTGGCCTCCACTGTAAGCTGCCATGGTGCCCATCGGCCGTTGAAGGTAGGATGTTTTGAGATCCCAGGTGCCAAGCTATAGGGGAACGAACAACCATAGAAACATCACAAACTCTGAGGTCCGCACGGATCTCTCGGAATCGCGCTGGGGCCCCCTTGACGGCGCCCCCGGCGCCGCCCCTGGCGCGCTCCGCGCGCCAGGGAGGGGGGTCCAGAGCCGACCCGAGAATGTCCCTCTGCAGGGGTGACTGTTCAAAAATAGTCAAACAGTAGTCGGGGGACTATTTTGTTGTTAATATCTGGGCCAATCTTTTGCGTATTTTTGTTGGGCATTCTTGATTTTGGTGCAAAAATTTCCTCTGTACGGGGACACGCCCGACTCAACTGTACGTAGATGAGCGCCTTCTGCGCAGGAGGCGCGCCGCGGGCCGCGGGACTCCTCGGGGGCACCGGGGGTGGGGGGCCCCGCGGAGGTGGCGCCCCGCCTCGGCGCCGCCGCCGTCGTCTGCGGCGGCGCCGTCGGCGCTTCAGCGGCGTTTCGGCGCCGTCGGCGTGATCGCCGTCGGCGTGCCTCGTCCTCGTCCTCCGCCGCCTCCCGCCCCTCCCTCCGTCCCTCCTCCCTCCTCCTCCTCCTCCTCCTCCTCCTCCTCCTCCTCCTCCTCCTCCTCCTCCTCCCCCTCCTCCTCCCTCTTCCTCATTCCTCCTCCCCCAGCTGCGCTCCTCCTCCTCCTCCTCCTCCTGCCCCCACCTCCAGTGTCCACATCGATCCGACCGATCCGGTTCGATGTCGGCCCTGGCCGCCTCCGACCCGACCGATCTGGTTCGATAGCAGCCCTGGCCGTCTCGAGCAGGTTCGATTCCGATGTTTCGGCGATCCGATGCGGCCCGTGGCTCGCGTGGCGACGTTGTGCATCTTGGCGCAGCCGATCCGATTCGATGGCGACTCTGTGCCGATGCAGGCCGATTGGACGCATATCCCGATTCGCGATGCAAAGCTGACCGATCCTGCCACCGTCATCCGATTCCAGGGGAGGCAGATCAGATGGTGCTTCCCGACGGCGACACCGGCAAGGGAGCAGGAAACAGTGGAATCGGGGGCGGCAAAGAGAGGGGTGATGACCAGGGGGGATGGATATGATGGCGGGGGTCATGATATCTCTCCAGATTTCATGGCGCCTCGTCTTATTTCAATCCGTCCCCAGGCCCCCCTTGGGCCGCGCACATGCCGCCGGTCATGATTTGTGCCCCCCCTCTTGGGCGCCCCCCTCTTGGCCGCCCCCGATGAATGGGGAAGGGGATGAGGAGCGGGCGGAGGGAAGATGGGGACGAGGTCGAGGACAACGCTGGGGGGGTGGAAGAGGGCATGAGGGGCCGCAGCCACTTTGGCCCAGGCGTGTACTCTGACCCCTGCACTTTCATTCTGACATCCACCGCCAGTCGGCGGCGACGAAAGGGGGGGAGAAGCGAGAAGGGGCGCGTCTTCTCAGAAGGCTGGCAAGGCCCCCGGTCCTCTCAAAAGTCTTCTGAGCCTTTTCCGAAGACGCAGAAGTATCTTCTCAGAAGGCGGGGGGCCGCCTGAGAAGTCCCTCCGTCTTCTGAGAAGGCCTTCTCCTTCTCATTTCGACTGCACGTAAGAGTGGCCCTTCGCCGGGAGTGACCTTTGGTGCGGGCCCACTGGGGCCCCCCCATCGCCGAACGCGATGCGATAGTAGCGTCTGCCGTGCTCGCGTGTTTGTCCCCCCCGCGGCCGCCGAAAAGCCGCGCACCAAAGATCACTCTTCCCGAGGGTCACTCTTGCGTGTATCACCGAGCGCGTCCCACGACTCGCAAAGTGCCTACTCGCCAAAGTCCGCAAACAGTTGCCTGCCTCGGTGTAAAATACATCGCAGCTCCCCCGCGGCGGACCCGGGCCGTACCGAGTACTTCCTTTGCGAGTCGTGGAACGCGCTTGCCTAGTGTACAGGGTTTCGCTTGAATACCTTACTTTCCAACAGGGGCTCGGTCGTTCCTCTGGTCTGCATGCAGTCCGCCACCTCTTTGGCGGCGAGCCCTCCCGGTGTTCCTTCGGACTTCCTGGATCCACTTGGGGACAGAAGGGGCCCCGTTCCTTCTTTATCGTTCCTCGGGTCAGGCCCGATCCCGTACAGTGTCGTTTTTTATACATGCTCCGCGTGCGGATCATGTATGAAAAATGCAGGGTTTCGTATTAACAACAACGATGAGTTCATGCAAAACCCCATGTATGAACAACTTCCCCGTCGCCGATCCCTTCCGCCCCTCCCGGTGTTCCTTCGGACTTCCTGGATCTATTTGGGGAAAGAAGGGGCTCCGTTCCTTCTTTATCGCTCCTGGATCTACCTGAAAAGAAGGGGCCCCGTTCCTTCTTTATCCTTCCTCGGGTCAGGCCCGATCCCGTCGCCGATCCCTTCCGCCCCCTCCCTCGCCGCCGAGCCGCAGGGCCGACAGCGCCCACTGCCCGCTGCACAGCCGCGCCGCGCCGCCCGCCCCCCCTTGGCATATAGGGCCTCGGGGCGCGGGGGCGGCGCGGCGGGTGCGGGCGCCCGCCCGGCCCTCTCTCCTATCAGGAGGGGAGAAAAAAACACAGACACAATGACTCGTCGATTCCCAAGGAAAATCTAGGAACACATGGGAAACTAGGGGGGGAAGACAAACACTCCGAAAATATGGGGAACCTTTTTATTTGTGTGTATTTATTTGCGTGTCCCAGGGCCCCTTCATCCTAGGAGGGGCGGGCGCGCGCGCCCGCTGCCGAGGCCCGCCGCTCCCCCGGAGGCCCTCTCGGGCGGGGCTGCGGGCCCAGACCTGCTCGCGCGTCCCCAGAGCGCCAACGCATCGAAGAAAATCAAGGCGGAGGTCTTTCTCAAATTTCGGCCCCCAGGGGACATCGCCGGGCCTCGGGACCGTCAAAAGACGACTCGGGATGAAAAACGGGTCCTGGGGAATGGGTCGAGACTTCTGGGGATCCCGTATCGAAACAATCACGGCATCGGACCTCTGGGTCTTGTGATCGTTTTCTTATACATTGGGTTGCCGATCGGCGCGGGCCCTCGCACCCCCTTCCCTCCTCCATTCCATGGAGTAGGTCTTTGCTGTTTCGTGGCGCCTGTTTCAAGCAGGTGGGGTCTCCCCCACAGGACGCACTGTTGCAAACAGTCGCACCAAGCAGAGGTCTGGAGCCAGGCCCCCTCCCCTCCCCCCCTTCCGCCCAATGTCGAAACGCCGAATGAGAAAAACGTTTGTCTTCAGTAGAGGCAGGACGGGGCGTTTGGGACCATTTTCGGCCCCCGTGAAAAGCCAGCCCGTCGACAGGGAAGGGTCTGCCGGGGACCCCGTGCTGAAGAGAAAAGTCAGGACGAGACGTTTTTGGTCTGATCTTCCAACCTACTGTAGCCTTGCCCCCCAGAACGAGCTTCGAGCACCAAGACAGTACTTACCGAGACTGGACGATCTTTACGTGTCGGGCCCTCGGAGGCGATGTTTGTTCAGCATTTTGCCAGCGTGTCGGGCAGACACTGTTTTGATACCTTTCGGGGTGCTCGGCATGATTTCTGGGATGTGGTCCTCAAGCACGATGGCAACAACATAACTTACCGTTTTGGGTCATCTTCGGCCCCATAGGCGGCCCCCGCCCGTCCTCGGGGCCGTCAAAACACGACTCGGGGTGAACAGCCAGCCTCGGGGACGGACGGGGTCGGGTCTGCTGGGGACCCTGTGCTGAAGATACGAGGGCATCGCATGTCTCGGATTGAAGCGTGCTGCCAAATACTTTCCAGATGTCTAAGAATGTTTCAAACATGATTTAAACATGTAAAAACATGTTTGAAACATTTCTAGAACATGTTTTACACATGTGAAACACATGTTGAATTCAAGGATCGGATTGTTAGAGTGTCCACTGTCATGACATCCACAAGCGTGGATGCAGACGCCTCCTGGCGGTGCAGGATAGTCCACGACTCTTTTGCTTTTATACGTGTGCGCTCCATGCCGCGGCCGGCGTCCCTCCTGGCGCTGCTGGTGCTCCCCCTCGCGGCCACGGTGGCGCTCGAGGCCAGGAGCGGCCTGGAGCTGCAGCGGAGGTCGCAGCCCAAGGCCTGCGGGGACGCCGACCCTCCACGGCACCCGTCCTGGCCAGGCCGGCACCGCGCCCAGAATCGGCGGAGGCGCACTCCGGGCCTGGCCCCAGGCCCAGAGAGCCAACGCACTGAAAAAATCAAGACGAGGAGGCCCGCCCGCCCGCTCCCCCGGAGGCCCTCGGGCGGGGCTGCGGGCCCAGACCTGCTCGCGTCCCCAGAGAGCCAACGCATCGAAGAAATCAGGGCGGAGGTCTTTCTCAAATTTCGGCCCCCACGGGCTCTCGCCAGGCCTCGGGACCGTCAAGAAACGACTCAGGATGAAGTGGTCCTGGGGAATGGGTCGAGACTTCGGGGATCCCGTATTGAAAAAAACACGGCATCGGATTTCTGGGGGGAGGCGCACACGCCGACGCAGGGTCCAGGGCTGGCCCTGCCAGTCGAAGGAGAAAAGCCCCATGAGCATGAACTCGTGGTGCTCCGCGAGGCTTTCTTGTAGCTGCGCCGGGGCCTCCCCTGGGCGGCGCCTCCGTCGCCGCCCCTGGCGCGCTTCCGCGCGCCAGGCTGGGGGTCCAGCGCAGAGCGAAGAAGTCCGCGCGGAGCGCCAAAAGTTGACGTTTGTGCCGCTTTTTTTCTCTCCTTCCGCTCTATAGCCAGGGCCGGTGCAGGGGGACGGTCGGAGTTCCCCCGGCAAGGAGAAGGAGAAGGGCGCACACAAGCTCGAGGCGCACGGGAAGGCGCAGCACAAGCCGCTGCACGACGAGGCGCACGAGAAGTGACGAACGAACAACGCACACCCATACCCATAGGGGGGTCGTATGGAGGAGGACTGGCTAGGTGCGGATTGTCGGACCCTGGGGAACGCTCCCGTTCGAGCGGGGACCCCCGTTCGACAACACGCACCCATAGCCCTCTCCGACCCCCCTATGGGTATGGGTGTTTGTTGTTGTTTCGTCAAGAAGGCCGGGCACAAGGCGGCGGCGCACGGCAAGGCGCACGAGAAGGCCGGGCACAAGGCGGCGGCGCACGGCAAAGACCACGACAAGTCTGGGCACAAGGTGGCGGCGCACAAGGCTGCGGCGCACGACAAGGCTGGGCACAAGGCCGCGGCGCACGACAAGGCTGGGCACAAGGCCGTCGTGCACGGCAAGGCGCACCACGAGTCCGCGAAGCACGAGAAGGCGCAGCACAAAGCCGCGCTCCACGGCAAGGCGGAGCACAAGGTCGCGCTACATGGCAAGACACAGCACAAATCCGTGGCCGCTCACGCCAAGCTGAAGCACGGTTCTGCGCTTCACCAGAAGGCAGGGCACAAGTCCGCGCTGCACGAGAAGGCAGGGAAGGCCGGTGCCAAGGACAAGAAGAAGAAGGCGGGGAAGGCCAAGGACGAGGACGAGGAAGCCGAGACCAAGACCACGAAGAAGGCCAAGAAGGCCGCGGCCAAGGACGAGAACGCGGACGAGGCAGAGCCGGTCGAGGAGGTGGTTGAAGACGATGGCACGGACAAGGAGTCCCCAGCGAAGCTCACGAAGGGTAAGGCCGCGGCAGTGGACGACAGCTCCATCTGCGCTGCTCCCGTGAACGGGAGCAAGTGCTTCAACTCCGTGACCTGGCTCAAGCGGGAGGGCTTCAGGCTGCACCCCGAGTGGTACCCGGCGTACAGCAGCCAGTCCACCTTCCAGGATCGGGGAACGCTGCGTCTGCGCTCGAAGAAGAAAGAACGCATAAACATACACTTGAGGCGCTCAGCGTGGATTTCCTACATCGGCGCGTGGGCCCCCCCGGGCGGCGCCGGAGGCGCCGCCCCCGGCGCGCTCCGCGCGCCAGGGAGGGGGGTCCAGCGCAGATCCAAGAAATCCGCGCGGAGCGCCAAAAGTTTCTGTCCCAGAGCGCGTTCCATTACTCGCAAAGTGCCTACTCGCAAACGTCCGCAAAACCATACGTCTGGCTTTGTGTAGTGTATCGTGCATTCCCTGCGGCGGATCAAGGCCATGTGCGACTCGCGACTTTGCGAGTGGTGGAACGCGCTTGTCTATTATGCGTGTGTTTTGTTCTGCTTCTATGCACCGATCCCGGCCCAGCCAATCCTCGGGCCAGCGTGTGACTGGTCTGGATCGGTGCCGGTGTAGCTCAGAGGCGGAAGAGGTGCCCATGCCTCTACCCTTCCGTCGTTCTCCCCTATTTGGGCCTCCTGGGAGGCCGTCGTCGCCACTGCTGGATTCGCCTCGAAATCGTGGTCAGAACGCACCCCGGGAGAGGTCCGGGGAGCAGCGGTATCGGTACTTTGTGGGTTCCCCAGTAGTTGGCGCCCTCCTTCAGGAGGTTCAGGCGATGCTGTTCAGCCTCGGCAAGTCGGAGTGCCCGAAGCCATGCGGTCAGGAGCGGAACAGACGACGACAAGCGCATAAACTTCGGAGGTCCTCGCAGATTTCTAGGGTCGGCGCTGGACCCTCCTCCCCACACCCCTTCCCCAGTGTGCGGAGCACGCCGGGGTTGGGGAAGGGGGGTCATGCTCGGAGGCGACGATAGGGGCGAATAGCCCAGGGGGGAGAACTATATGTATTCAGGGGCGCTGATGACTCATGTCTTCGGCGAGACTCCCTTGCGAATGCGTAACATGCTTGCCCCTTGGCTATTCGCTCCTACGGTCATTCCGCATTGTAACGATGAGCGGTTTTCCACTGTGATTCTTGCATGCTTCCCTCTCGGCCCATCCTTGACCGCTTTCGCTGGCCGCGCCCCCCTCTCGCAAAGTGTCGACATGGCCTTCCAAGGCCATTGCGTCCTCATCGTGCTTCCTTGTCATACAATAGAGACCCATGCCAAGAAACACCATGCTTGCCTCCAGGGTGCCCTGGTTTTCTTGGGTTCCGATGGTTTTGAGATGGAACGCGTGACGTTCCCACACTAACAATCTACGGACGTCCTGGGGTCTCAGGGTTGGGTTTCTTGTGGAAGGTTCCTTGTGGTCGGGCCCCACTGGACGGGTCGACTCTACCGTCGCCATCGACATGCGCCGATCCAGAAAGCCGCCGCGGGCCGCCGAAGGCTTGTATGTTTTATTATGTGGTCTTTGCTGATCCCAGCCTCTTTCCCTGGAGGCCTCGATCGGAGGACGCGTAATGGAGGCCTCGATCGGAGGATGCGGGAGCGCGATTCCTACAGAGGGGGCCCATGCCAAGAAACACCTTGCTTGCCTCCAGGGTGCCCTGGGTTTCTTGGGTTTCGATGGTATTGCGATTGAAGGCGTGACTTTCCCACACCAAAAATCCATGGACGTCCTGGGGTCTCAGTTTTGGGGTTCTTGTGGAAGGTTTCTTGTGGTCGGGCCCCTACTGTACACTGTGAGGGAGTCGCGCGATTTTGAAATCACTTGTTCGGAAGTATCAGGCGGGAGCCGTTGCTGCTGTAGCTCGGGGGCTAGAGGGGGTCCATCTGAGCCGCAAGACGTTCCGGGAGGAGCATTTTCATTGCAACACGCAGTGGGCACGGGGGGGACCAGCAGCATTTCTTCTATAGAAGTGCCAAAGTTCAAAATATTCGGACCGCGGATCCCCGCTTCAGCCACGCACCCTGGGACAGTGAATGACCGTTCGGCCCCCATCACTCTGTTATTGTTGCCCTTCGATCGGCGTCCCCCCAACATACATATACTCTGTGTTCGTCGCCCCCCCAAGGGGCGACGCGCGCACCGAGACATCTTACAGTATATGTGTCGTGGCAGGCGCGTTCTGGCCACACCGCTCGGGAAACGATCTACTACAAGATGGGTATGCAAGGTGTTCGGGTCGGACGCGCGCCTCCAGGGCGGACGTATCGTATTAGCATGTCCCTGTGCGTCACATTCGAGCACCAAGAATATACCAAACTTATAGTTTTTTGCACGTGTCGGGCCCTTGGAGACACTCGCCCGAGTTGGTGTCGACACTGTTTCGACACGTCTCCGAGCGCTCGAAGTTATTTCTGGGACGCGGTCCTTCAGTTCGACGGGAGCCACATAATGCTCCTGCTGTTCTGGTTGCCATCCGAAGGAGTCCACCACCTCCGCCGCCCCCGCCGCCCCCGCCGACCCCGACTCCGAGGAGGAGGACATCGGTGGCACGCCGAGGCCCGCGGCTGGCTCCACCGTCCACTACGACGAGGAGTCGCAGGACGAGCCCGCGGAGCCCGGCGCGGCGCGCGCGCGCGCGAAGCTGGGCGGGGCGACGTGTAAGTCGGGCCTGTCCCCCTCCCACAGGGGGAATCGTCAGACATAGCCAGCACGCAGCCAGGGGACGACGTTTGATGATTATCTTCCCACCGTCCTGCGGTGTTGGGTCCTCGTTTTGAAAAGACGGTCCCCGCGCTCCTCTTCTCCTCTTCTCCTCCTCTCCTCCTCCTCCTCCCCCTCCCCCCCTCCCTCCTACGTCTTCCATGCGGTTCACCCACCCAGTGGCACCGCCCGCATGCGTCCGCCACCACCCAGCACAGCCCTTGCTCCCTGCGTCCGCCACCACCCAGTACAGCCCTTGCTCCCTGCGTTTCACCCACGCAGTACAGCGCTTCGTGGCCCCATAGGGGCTCCACCGAAGGTCCCACTGGCACCGCCCGCGTGCGTCCGCCACCACCCAGCACAGCCCTTGCCCCCTGCGCTTCACCCACCCAGTACAACGTTTCGTGGCCCCACAGGGGGCTCCACCGAAGGTCCCAGTGGCACCGCCCGAGTGCGTCCGCCACCACCCAGCACAGCCTTTGCTCCCTGCGCTTCGCCCACCCAGTACAGCGTTTCGTGGCCACATAGGAGGCTTTACCGAAGGTCCCAGTGGCACCGCCCGCATGCGTCCGCCACCATCCAGCACAGCCATTGCTCATTTCGTTCCACCCACCCAGTACAGCGTATCGTGGCCCCATAGGGGGCTCCACCGAAGGTCCCAGTGGCATCGCCCGCATGCGTCCGCCACCACCCAGCACAGCCCTTGCTCCCTGCGTTCCACTCACCTGGTACAGCGCTTCGTCGCCACATAGGGGGCGCCACCGAACAACATTTTCACACTTGCGGCATTCACAATTGCATATGGTTGGGTCTTTCGCCAAGGTAATTTTGATATGTTTGGGCAATGTGTCCCCGACCATCCTATGATGTTGGGTCCTCGCTTTGAAAAAAAACGGTCTCCGCGTTCCTCTTCTCTTCTCCTCTCCTCCTCCTCCCCCATCCTCCCCTCCCTCCTCCTTCCATGCGTTTCATCCACCCAGCACAGCGTTTCGTGGTCCCGTGGGGAGTTCCACCGAAGGTCCCAGTGGCAACGCCCGCATACGCCCGCCACCACCCAGCACAGCCCTTCCTTGCTCCCTGCGTTTCAGCCACTCAGTACAGCGCTTCGTGGCCCCATAGGGAGCTCCACCGAAGGTCCCAGTGGCACCGCCTGCATGCGTCCGCCACCTCCCAGCCCAGCCCTTGCTCGTTGCGTTTCACCCACCCAGTACATCGCTTCGTGGCCCCATAGGGAGCTCCACCGAAGGTTCCAGTGGCACCGCCCGCATGCGCCCGCCACCACTCAGCCCAGCCTTTGGTCCCTGCGCTTCAACCACTCAGTACAGCGCTGTGTGGACCCATAGGGAGCTCCACCGAAAGTCCCAGTGGCACCGCCCGCATGCGTCCGCCACCTCCTTGCGTTTCACCCACCCAGTACAGCGCACCGTGGCCCCATAGGGGGCTCCACCGAAGGTCCCAGTGGCATCGCCCGCATGCGTCCACCACCACCCAGCACAGCCATTTCCCCTTGCGTTTTGCCCACCCAACACAGCGCTTCGTGGCCCCCAAAGGAGCTCCACCGAAGGTCCCAGTGGCACCGCCCACATGCGTCCGCCACCACCCAGTACAGCCATTGCTCCTTGCGTTTCGCCCACGCAGTACAGCGCTTCGTGGCCCCATAATGGTGGGCCCACCGAATGTCCCAATGGCACAGCCCGCATGCGTCCGCCACCATCCAGCACAGCCCTTGCCCCCTGCGCTTCACCCACCCAGTACAGCGTTTCGTGGCCCCATAGGGAGCTCCACCGAAGGTCCCAGTGGCATCGCCCGCGTGCGCTCGCCACCGCCCAACACGGCCCTTGCTCCCTGCTGTTCACCCACCCAATACAGCGTATCGTGTCCCCACTGGCACCGCTTGCATGCGGCACCGCCTGCATGCGTCCGCCACCACCCAACACGGTTTTTTGTTCCCTGCGTTTCACCCACCGTTTGCAGCGCTTCGTGTCCAATCGGGAGCACGAGTGCGGTATTCACGCCCGGCAGATTTGAGTATTTCCAAACCATCTTGTGGTTGTGGGCCCTCGTTTTGAAGAGACGGTCCCCGCGTTCCGTTCTTTTTCCTTTCCTTTTCTTCCCCCTCCTCCTTCCCCCCTCCTTCCCCCATGCCTTTTCACCCACCCAGCACCGCGCTTCGTGGTCCCATAGGGAGTTCCACCGAACCCCCCACTGGGACCGCCCGCATGCGCCCCCCACGCCCATTTTGGCATTGTCACCCACCACGGACAACGCTTCGGGGCCACACATGGAACCCCACCGAAGCCCCCAGTTGGACCGTCCGCATGCGTCCCCCGCACCCGATTTGGCATATTCACCCACCCGGTACAACGTTTCGTGGTCCAATAGGGAGCTCCACCGAAACCCACAGTGGGACCGCCCGCATGCGTCCCCCACACCCAGTTTGGCACTGTCACCCACCCAGCACCGCGCTTCGTGGCCCAAAAAGGAACCCCACCGAAACCCCCAGTGGGACCGCCCGCATGCATCCCCACACACAATTTGGCATGGCCACCCCCCCAGTACAGCGCTTCGTGGCCCCATAGGTAGCCTCACCGAAACCCCCAGTGGGATCGCCCGCACGCGCCCCCCGCATCCAATTTGGCACTTTCACCCACCCAGTACACCGCTTCGTGGCCCAATAGGGAACCCTTCCGAAGCCTTCAGTGGGACCGCCCGCATGCGCCCCCCACGCCCATTTTGGCATTGTCACCCACCACGGACAACGCTTCGGGGCCACACATGGAGCCCCACCGAAGCCCCCAGTTGGACCATCCGCATGCGTCCCCCGCACCCGATTCGGCATTGCCACCCACGTACTACAGCGCTCCGTGGCCCCAAAGGGAGCTCCGCCGAAACCCCCACTGGGACCGCCTGCGTGCGTCCTCCACACCCAATTTGGCAGTTTCACCCACCCAGTACAACGCTTCGTGGTCCTATCAGGAGCTTCACCGAAACCCCCAGCGGGACCGCCCGCATGCGTCCCCCACACACAATTTGGCATTTTCGCCGACCCAGTACAGCGCTTCGGGGTTCCAAAGGGAGCCCCACCGACGCCCCCAGTGGGGCCGCCCGCATGCGCCCCCCCCACACCCAGTTTGGCATTTTCATGTACCTTTTACAACGCTTCGCGGCATGGTGAGTTCCGCCGAGGCCCCTTGGGACCGCCCGCGTGCGTCCCACACGCCGAATGTGGTATTTTCACCTACCCCGCGCGGCGCTCCGTGGTTTCATCGGGAGCTTCACCGACGGCCCCAGTGCTACCGCCCGCAGGCGTTCCCCCCCGCCCAGCGCGGCGATTCGTGGCCCCATAGGGAGCTCCACCGAAAAAATGTTCACAATTGCGGTACCCACAACTCCATATAGTTGGGTCCTCCGCCAGGATAATTATTATTTTTCGCCCCAAATCCCCCTGTAGGGGACATGCACGACCCAAGGGCAGGGCGACGTCGCCGCTGCACGACGACGACGACGACCACCGACGACGACGACGACGACCACCGACGACGACGAGGACGGCGACGGCGACGGCGACGCCGCCGCCGCCGCCCGCCGCCCGCCGCCCGCACCCAGCGACCCTCCGAGGAGGCCCTCTTGGCGGCCTCCGAGGGCGCGGGCCTCTCCGCCCGAGAGGGCCTCCCACCCGCCCTGCAGCACGGCCCGCGTCCTTCCCCAGGGAGGCGGGCCCCCCAGGACTTGCCGCTGGTGGTGGCGACGGCGACGGCGCTGGCGCCGTTTTCGTCCTCGTCCTCGTCCTCGTCCTCGTCCTCGTCCTCGTCCTCGTCCTCGTCCTCGTCGTCTGCGTTTGCGTCTGCGTCTGCATCCGAGTCTGCGTCGTCGCTGTCGCCGTCGGTGGCGCCGTTGCCGTCGACGCCGTCGCCGTCGCCATCACCCTTCCCGGGAAGGCCGACCACGCTAGCTTGACCAGCCTCCGATGACGGCCACGGCGGCGACGGCGGCGACGGCGACGCGGACCGCCGAGGAGAAGCAGTCGGAGGTGCCCGTGCCGTTTAAGCCAGACGTGGTCGCGGAGGAGGAAATCAGGGCTCAAGAGACGGGCGTCAATGCAAACAGTGGCCAGTCAGAGCGCCAGAGATTGCAGGATCCTGCACGGCCAGGGGTACTCTGGCCCGTGCTCGCGTGCAGGATCCTGCAGGATCCTGTTGGATCTTGCAGTTTCCTGCAGAGCTCGACTGACTCGGGTCTGGATTGGCCCAGGGCAGTGCACCCCCGAGGAAACACCGGCGCCCGCGCCAGAGGCCGCGGCGTCCGAGAGCGCAGCGGCGGCCGCCAGCGCCGCGACGACGCCCGAGCCGGAGCCGTCTGGGCCGCCGAGGACCCGTGGGGAAGCCAAATGGCCTCGGCCGGCTACGCGCACCTCAGGGGCAACGATCGGGGAGGATTGGCTCAGGGGAGACGGGTTCCGGGCGGCGAGGGGAGGTTTGGTGAGGCTTCGTGGCTTCGCGGCGGTGTCTCCTGGCTTCTCGGGGCGGTCTCCGGCAGCTGCGCCGCGCCGAGAGCGTTTTTTGGGGGGGCGGCCCGGGTCCCGAGCGGCCGCCGGAGGCCCGAGAGTTCTGGCTGGAGAGCCACCGGGGGCAGGAGGGGAAAAAACACACAGACACAATTAATCGTCGATTCCCCTGAAAATATGGGAAAATATGGGAAGTGGGTGGGAAGACAAAAATCCAAGAAAATATGGAAAAATATGGGGAATACTTTTATTTGTGTGTATTTATTTGTGTGTCCCAGGGCCCCTTCACAGGGACAGGCTCGGGGGGGGAACGTGTCGACCCCCGGTCGCCCACTGATCGCCGACCCGGTCAGAGAGCCCCACCCCGCCCGGGAGCGCGTGGGGAGTCGCCACCGAGGGCACATCGCCGATCGACCGGCGACGTTTCGCCGATTCCGGGTCGAGGAGGAGGAGGAGGAGGAGGAGGAGGAGGAGGAGGAGGAGGAGGAGGAGGAGGAGGAGGAGGAGGGGGAGGTGGAGGAGGAGGAGGAGGGGGAGGAGGAGGAGGAGGAGGAGGAGGAGGAGGAGGAGGAGGAGGAGGAGGAGGAGGAGGAGGAGGAGGAGAGGCCGGGGAGTGGTCTTGGGCGGCGCGATGGCGGCGCCTCGAGGCGGAGGTGCGGGGGCCGCTCTGCTGGGGGGCACGGCCCGGCGCACCTCGAAAGTTGGGGATTCATCTTTCACGGGGGGAAACACGCACACGCGCGCGCACGCACACGCGCACGCGCACGCGCACGCACACGCACACGCACACGCACACGCACACACACATACACACACACACACGCACACAGACACACTCTCACACACTCACGCGCACACACACGCACACGCACACACAACACACAACACATAACACAACACACACATACACGCGCACACACAACACACAACACACAACACAAAACACGCAACACACAACACACAATATACAGCACACAACACACCACACACACAACATTCACACACACACGCGCACACACTCACACGCACACACACAACACACACACACACACACACGCACACGCACACGCACACGCACACGCACACGCACACGCACATACACACGCACACGCACACGCACACACACACACATACCTACACACACAGACGCAACCAATTGTCGACCCCCAGGAGAATATGGGAGCATGTGGGAAGTGGGGGGGAAGACGAAAGTCCAGAAGGTATAGGAAAGTGTGGAGGAGTCCTGGGATGTGTGTGTGTATTTATTTGTGTGCCCCTGGGCCCCTTCGATCTCGAGCGAAGAGGGCGCTCTGCGGGCCCGCGCCGCCTCGAGGCGGCGACCCTCCCAAGCGCGGGCGGACCAGGTCGAACGCCGCCAGAGGCCCGGGATGGGCGGACATCGAGCGCTCTGCGCAATCGGGGAGCCGCGAGCATTCCAAGGTGGTTCGCACGGTAATTCTCTGGCAGGATACCGGTCTGGCTTCCCACCTGCGGCTCCGGCCTGTGTTCTTTGGTTGCCCACCTGTGGCCGCCTCTCTTCCTAATTTGTGTTTGCATGTGCATTCCGCGCGTTCTCGCGCCAATTATCTGTCGCTGTGCCCCAGCCTCGGTCATACCGCCCTCTGGACTTCTTCTTGCGGGCCGCGAATCAAAAAAAAAGGTACCCCAAGGTGGAAGTCCATGCCAAGAACCCCCCTGCTTGCCTCCAGGGTGCCCAGTATTGCTTGGGGTTCGATGGTTCTGCCATGGAGAGCGCGACGCTCCCACACCGAAAATCCATGCCAAGAGCCCTCCTTGCTTGCCTCCAGGGTGCCCAGTAGTTGTTGGGGTCCGATGGTTCTGCCATGGAGAGCGCGACGCTCCCACACCGAACATCCATGGACGTCCTGGGGTCTCAGGGTTGGGTTTCTCGTAGAAGGTGTCTTGCGGACTGGCCTCCGCTGTATTCAAGGTGGAACGATCCGTGCGGCGTCAGAAGCCCAGGCCGACGCCGCCGGCCCGCAACCCTGCGGTACCACCCTCTGGAGCAGACGTGGTTTGTCTTCGAGTCGGGGTTCACCTCGGGGACGCCCACGGGGCCAGGTGAGCAGAACAACGGGGTCGCATGCACCGTCATTGGCGCGTAATCACAGGGAGGAAACACCACCCGGACCGGACAATTAGCGTTTGCTAAACGGCCCTGGGCGTTTGCGAAACAGCCCTGCCGTGTTTGATTCCCTCTTTGGGTGCGTTTACGAAACGGCCTCGTTCTTCGGGGTGCTTATATTGTGGGGGGGGGGGGGGATTTTTTCAGGAGAGGAAAAAACACACAGACACAATGAATCCTCGATTCCCAAGAAAATATGGGAAACTATGGGAATTGGGCGGGGAGACGAAAACCCACAAAATATATGAAAATATGGGGAATCATTTTATTTGTGTGTATTTATCTGTGTGTCTTTGGGCCCCTTGATTCTTGCCCTCTGCAAGCGCCCTCCTCCCAAGTGCAGCGTGCCGCGCGGGCGGCCCGCGCCAGCCGCGCTCGCTTAGGGGTCGCCGTGGCGCCTCTCGCTCGCGCGGGGCCCGTGCCTCCTCGTCGCCCGGGCCGCGGCAGGGCACGCGGCCCCGGCGAGCGCCCCACGGCCAGGGGGGGGCTCGGGGCGCTCTGGGGCCTTTTCCTGGGTCTCCAGGATGTCCCGACAGCCGTGGCGCAGCGTCCTGGCTCGCATATAAACCTTACCGAACAGCTCTAAGAAGCTCCTCCGGGGCGCTCTGGGGCGCTTTTGGGGCCTACCGAACAGCTCTAAGCCCTACCGAACAGCTCGGGGCGTTCCGGGGCCTTTTTACAACGACGCGACGATCGGGACAAAAAATCTGATCGGGATACCTCGAAATCTCTGAGAATCGGCGGGTTTGGAGGATGTGCTGGGCGCCGCGGCCGCTCCAGAGCGTTCCGGAACGCTCTGAGAGCGCTCCGGAACGCTCTGGGGCGATTTATCCCGATCTTAGCCCTGTTTTACTTTTCCTGAGTCTCCAGGAGGTTCCGCAAGCGGTGGCGCAGCGTCCTGGCTCGCCTATAGGCCCTACCGAACAGCTCTAAGAACCTCTTTGTGGTTCCCACAACATGTTCTTGGAACATTTCTGGTTGGGACTGTCTTGTTTTATCGCATCGGTGTTCCGTTCTAAGAACACTGTTTTTGTTCCCAACCATCCTGTGGTGTTGGGTCCTCGGTTTGAAGAGACGGTCCCCGCGTTCCGCTCATTTTCCTTTCCTCCTCCTCCCCCTCCTCCCCTCCCCCCTCCTTTTTCCATGCGCTTCACCCACCCAGCACAGCGGTTCGTGGCCCCATAGGGAGCTCCACCGAAGCCCCCAGTGGGACCGCCCGCATGCGTCCCCCATGCCCAATTTGGCATTTTTCACAGACCAAGTACAGCGTTTCGTGACCCCATAGTGAGCTCCACCGAAGCCCCTTGTGGGACAGCCCACATGCGTCCCCCACACCCAATTTGACATTTTTACTCACCCTGTATAGCGCTTCGTGGCCCCATAGGGAGCTCCACCGAAGCCCCCAGTGGGACCGCCCGCACGCGCCCCCCACACCCAATTTGGCATTCTCACCCACCCAGTACAGCGCTTCGTGGCCCCATAGGGAACTCCACCGAAGCCCCCAGTGGGACCGCCCGCATGCGCCCCCCACGCCCAATTTGGCATTTTTACCAACCCAGCACAGCGTTTCGTGACCCCATGGGGAGCTCCACCGAAGCCTCCGATGGCACCGCCCACATGCGTCCCACACGCCTAATTTGGCATTTTCACGCACCCAGTACAGCACTTCGTGGCCCAATAGGGAGCCCCACCGAAGCCCCCAGTGGGACCGCCCGCACGCGTCCCCCACACCCAACTTGGCATTGTCACCCACCCAGTACAGCGCTTCGTGGCCCCATAGTGCGCTCCACCGAAGCCCCAAATGGCACCGCCCACATGCGTCCCCCACACCAAAGTTGGCATTTTCACCCACTCAGTACAGCGTTGCGTGGCCCCACAGGGAACTTTACCGAAGCCCCCAGTGTGACCGCCCGCGTCTGCCCCCCCACACCCGATTTGGCATTTTCGCTCTTCCAGTATTGCGCTTCGTGGCCTCATAGGGAGCTCCACCGAAACCCCCAATGGGACCGCCCGCGTGCGCCCCCCACGCCCAATTTGGCATTCTCACCCACCCAGTACAGCGCTTCGTGACCCCATAGGGAGCTCCACCGAAACTCCCAGTGGTACTGCCCACTTGCGCCCCCCACGCCTAATTTGGCATGTTCGCCCACCCCGTACAGCGTTTCGTGGCCCAGTAGTCAGCCCCACCGAAGCCCCCAGTGGGACCGCCCGCGTGCGTCCCCCACACCCACCTTGGCATTGTCACCCACCCAGTGCAGCGCTTCGTGGCCCCATAGGGAACCCCACCGAAGCCCCCAATGGGACCGTCCGCGTGCGTCCCCCCGCATACGTCCCCCCACCAAATTTGGCATTTCCACCGGCCCAGCACAGCGTTTCGTGGCCCCAAAGGGCGCCCCACCGAAACCCCCAGTGGGGCCGCCCGCATGCGTCCCCCACACCCAGTTTGGCATTTTTGCTCGCCCTTTACAACACTTCGCGGCCCCATGGGGAGCTCCACCGAAGCCCCCAATGGGACCGCCCGCACGCCTCCCACACGCCTAATTTGGTATTTTCACTCACCCAGTGCAGCGTTCCGTGGCTTCATAGGGAGCTTCACCGACGGCCCCAGTGCTACCGCCCGCATGCGGTCCCCCCTCGCCCAAGGCAGCGCTTCGTGGCCCCATAGGGAACTTCACCGAAGAAGATATTCACAATCGCGGTACCCACAACTTCATATGGTTGGGTCTTTAGCCAGGATAATGTTTAGAACACGTCCTTCGGGTTCTAGGAAAATTTGTGGTAGGACTCTACGAATGCCGGGACGGTCGGTCCCCGCTCAACTCTGGGCCTTTTTCCTGGGTGTCCTGGAGGTTCCGGCATCGCCACGGTCTCTGGACGCCCGAAATGGGTACGGAAAGAATGGGTACAATGCCCAACAGCAAATGTTGTCTCAAACCAACATCGGCCGCTGTTGGGCGGGCAGCCTCCTGTCTCGAATGGACACAGGCCGCGGCGGCGCGGACAGCGAGCCCTGTTCAAAATGACCAGGATCAGCTGTTGGGCATTGTACCCATTCTTTCCGTGCCCATTTCGGGCGTCCAGACGGTCGGCTTCATCCCAAGATTCCTCTGTGGCCAGGAGGCCCCCCCGGGTGGCCGGGCTGGGGCCCCCGAGTCCCGGGGGGGGGGCAGGCGCGCGCCGCGGCGACGCGGCGGCGACGTTCGGGCGGGGGCAGGGCGAGGATAATCGGCAGGAAAAAAGCACACAGACACAATTCATCGTCGATTCCCCAGAAAATATGCGAAGATATGCGAAGTGGGGGGGAAGACAGAAACCCGAAAAATATGGGAAAATATTGGGAATCCTTTTATTTGTTTGTGTTTATTTGTGTGTCCTGGGGCCCCTTCAGATAAGTCCGTCCCAGGACGTTTCAGAACGCTCCTCGGAGCGTGCCAGAACGCTCCGAGGAGGCCGCGGCCCACTTCCGAGCTTGCAGAGTCGGTTGCGCAGAGATGGGGCCCCGAGGAGTGGGGGCCCAAGGATATAGGAGTCGGGCGGGGCAGGGGCGAGGATGCATCCGTCCCGGGGCGCTCCGGAGCGCTCCTCGGAGCGTGCTGTGAACGCTCCGAGGAGGCCGCGGCCCACCTCCGAGCCTGCAGCGTCTCGGCGGCGCAGAGGTGGGGCCCTGAGGAAGGGGGGCCCAAGGATATAGGAGTCGGGCGGGGCGGGGACGAGGATACAGGAAGGAACCCTTTTCGTTGGGGAGGGGCTCCGTGTTTCTTAAGTGTTTCGCAGCTTGCCTCAGGTTTTCCTCAGGTTTTCGATCGGAAATCGAAGTTTAACTTATGGAGAAAAGGGGCCTCGTTCCTTATTTTGGGTTCCTTTGGTCAAGGCCCCGACTATACATCCGTCCCAGGGCGTTCCGGAGCGCTCTCGGAGCGTGCCGGAGCGCTCCGAGGAGGCCGCGGCGCCCGCGGCATCCTCCAGAGCCGCCGCATCTCTGGGGCCGCCGGATCTGAGAGGTCCTCGGTGCATTCGCTCCCGAGTGGAGCCTCGGCCTGGCTTCGTCTTAAGGGGGGGGAGCGCCGCCCTCCCTTCTTGGAGAGCCCCCCCCCCGAGAGGCCGCCCGTGCTGCTGGAGAACCCGGCCAACTCGGTCGACGAGGAGATGCTGCCCAGGCCGGCAGGGCCGTGTGTTCCGAGGTGTTCTCGCCGTGAATCGTCGGAGGCCCAGATCGAGGAAGAGGAAGCGCCATAAACATGAGTAAAACTTGTGGCGCTCCGCGCGGATTTGTCGGATCCGCTCCTCCTCCCTCTCCTCCTCTTCCTCCTCCCCCTCCCCCTCCTCCTCCTCCTTCCTCCTCCCCCTCCTCCCCCTCCTCTTCCTCTTCCTCCTCTTCCTCCCCCTCCTCCTCTTCCTCTTCCTCCTCCCCCTCCTCCTCCTCCTCCTCCTGCCTCCGGCGTGGGCTCCGTGGGCCCGCGCCGACGTCGGAGGCCTGAGGTGTCGTGGGGGTCCACAGGACGAGGAGGTGCTGCCCAGTCCGGCAGGGCTGTGCCGTTCGCAGGGCCGCGGCGATAATCGCGCCTCGCGCTGCCTGCTCTTGGCATCGCTCGGACGTGTGCATTCTTCCTTCGGCGAGGACCATCGAGGAGCATCCTCGATCATTTGGCGAAAAGACCACGCATGAAACCGAAACAAACACAGGGAATGGACGTCCGAGCGATGGCCAGTGCTGTCCAGGCCAGAGAGCTGTCATGGTCCGGTGGGGCGGCGTGGTAGCGCGAAAGCAGTGGGGCCGTCGAGACAGGCGACGTCGTGCTCTTCTCGCAGCACGGGCCCCGGGCCTCTTCGGCCCCATCCCGGAGACCATGCTCTCATTCCAGGCCGCTCTGTGATGGTCCTGGGGGCCCTAAGCGAGCCTTCCCTGGACAGAACCGTGTGGAATACCGGCCGTCCGTACGCTCTGGTCACCAGCGCGACGACAATCGCAATCCGTTCGGCGCGACGAGGAGGGAGGAATGATGAAAGAGGAGGAGGAAGAGGAGGAGGAGGAGGAGGAGGAGGAGGAGGAGGAGGAGGAGGAGGGGGAGCAGGAGGAGGAGGAGGAGGAGGAGGAGGAGGAGGAGGAGGAGGAGGGAAGAGGAGCAGGAGGCAGGAGGAGGAGGCGGAGGAGGAGGCGGAGGAGGAGGCGGAGGAGGAGGAGGCGCTCAACTGAACTGCTCGCCGCGGGGTGTCCCCATTCTCGCTCATAGAGGGGGGGAGCAGAAAATGGGGATAGGCCCTTTTGGATTAGCGAGTTCACCAGGCGTCGTTGTCAGACTCTGGGACTGGGTCGCCATGGGATATCTTGAGTGCACAGGCCCTCTCCCCATGCTCGATGGCTTCCTCCCAAGTGAGGCCATACAGCGCAAGACTCTTTGTCGTGTCCAGATTTCTCAGCCCTGGGGCCTGGGATCCTTGGCCAGGAGGGACCGTGGTGGGCTCCAGAATTCACGACCACTCCCAACGGACACGGCGTTTGTCGCCGTGCCTGGGGAATTTTGTCGCAGTTTTTCATAACCATCCTGTGGTGTTGGGTCCTCGTTTTGAACAGACGGTCCCCGCGTTCCTGTCCTTTTCTTCTCCTCCTCCCCCTCCTTCCCTCCCTCCTCCTTCTTCAATGCGTTTCACCCATCCACTACAGCATTTAGTGGCCCCATAGGGAGCCCCACCGAAGCCCCCAGTGGGACCGCCCGCATGCGCCCCCTACACCCAACTTGGCATTGTCACCCACCCAGCACAGCGCTTCGTGGCCCCATAGGGAGCTCCACCGAAGCCCCCAGTGGGACCGCCCGCATGCGTCCCCCACACCCAATTTGGCATGTTCACCCACCCAGTACAGCGCTTCGTGGGCGAGCTCCACCGAAGCCCCCAGTGGGACCGCCCGCATGCGTCACCCACACCCAATGTAGCATTGTCACCCACCCAGCACAGCGTTGCGTAGCCCCACGGAGTTTTCCACCGAAGCCCCCAGTGGGACCGCCCGCATGCGTCCCCCACGCCCAATTTGGCATGTTCACCCACCCCGTACAGCGTCTCGTGGCCCAATAGGGAGCCCCACCGAAGCCCCCAGTGGGACCGCCCGCATGCGTCCCCCACACCCAATTCGGCATTGTGCGGCATTGTCACCCACCCAACGCAGCGCTTCGTGGCCCCTTAGGGAGCTCCAGCGAAGCCGCCAATGGGACCGCCCGCATGCGTCCCCCACACCCAACTTGGCATTTACACCCACCCAGTACAGCGGTTCCTCCGAAACCCCCAGTAGTACCGCCCACGTGCGCCCCCCGCACCCAACTTGGCATTTTCACCCACCCCGTACACCTTTTCGTGGCCGAATAGGGAGCCCCACCGAAGCCCCCAGTGGGACCGCCCGCGTGCGTCCCCCACATCCAATTTGGCATTTTCACCCACCCAGTACAGCGCTTCGTGGCCCCATAGGGAGCTCCACCGAAGCCCCCAGTGGGACCGCCCGCATGCGTCCCCCTACACCCAACTTGGCAGTGTCACCCACCCAGTACAGCGCTTCGTGGCCCGTTAAGGAACCCCACCGAAGCCCCCAATGGGACCGTCCGCATGCGTCCCCGACACCCGACTTGGCATTGCCACCCACCCAGTACAGCGCTCCGTGGCCCCATAGGGAGCTCCACCGAAGCCCCCAGTGGGACCGCCCGCATGCGTCCCCCACACCCAATTTGGCATTTCCACCGACCATGTACAGCGCTCCGTGGCCCCATATGGAGCCCCACCGAAGCCCCCAGTGGGGCGGGCCGCATGCGTCCCCCATACCAAATTTAGCATGTCACCCACACTTTACAACGCTTCGCGACCCTATGGGGAGCTCCACCGAAACTCCTAATGGGACCGCCCGCGTGCGTCTCACAAGCCTAATTTTGTATGTTCACCCACCCAGTGCAGCGCTTCGTGGCCTCATAGGGAGCTTCACCGACGTCCCCAGTGCTACCGCCCGCATGCGTTCCTGCCTCGCCGAAGGCAGCGCTTCGTGGCCCCATAGGGAGCTTCACCGAAGAAAATATTCACAAGTGCGGTACCCACATCTTCATATGGTTGGGTCCTTCGCCAGGGTCATTTGAAACCTTGACATCTAAGCAGCGCCCCGGGATTCTTTCTCCTTTGACGGGGTTTTCCAGAGGTCTCGGGCGAAGTTCCGACCGGTGCTGCGCAATATCATCCCATTCGCCAGGATACCCCCAGCGTCTAGAATCTCGGAGGCCAGGGCGTAGCCTCTGACAGGGGGAGGAGTAGGAGGAGTAGGAGAGGGAGGATCACGAGGAGGAGGAGGAGGATGAGGAGGAAGAGGACGAGGAGGAGGAGGAGGAGGAAGAGTAGGAGGAGGAGGAGGAGGGGGCCCTCGCTTCCCCCCCGAGGGTCGGCAAGGACGCGGCCGACGTCATGTAGGCTACCGGTTGGGGGTGGCGGCGCGGCGGCGCGACGCTCGAGCGCGCTCGCGCCCGCACCGCCGCGACGCCCGCGCGCGCTCCCGCGCCGCGGAGACGCGCGCACAGGGGGGTCCTGGAGGGAGGGGGAGGGGCAGAGGAGGAGGGGAGGAGGAAGGGGATGAGGAGGGGGAGGGGGAGAGGAGGATGAGGAGGGGGGAGGGGGGAGGGGGAGGGGGAGAGGAGGAGGAGGAGGGGGAGGGGTAGGGGCAGAGGAGGGAAGTAGGAGTCAGGAAGCAGCACGGTTGCGGAGTAACACGGAGGGCGGAGGGGGAAGGAAGGAGAAAAGGGGGCTACGCTGGCGAAGTCGACCGTTCACCAGCCGAGCCGAGTCTACACTGGCCACCTTCGCTCACCCACCTCGAGATTGCACCTTGCACCGGGCGGAGGAAGATGAAAGGACGGAGGAGGGGAGGAGGGGGGAAGAAGGGGGTGGGGGGAGGAGGAAAAGGTAGCCATAGCGCTACCCTCAGCCCGTTCATCCCTTTTTCCCAACCATCCTGTGATGTTGGGTCTTCGTTTTGAAGACGCGTCGCCCCGCGTTCCTCCTCCTCTCCTCCTCCTCCTCCTCCTCCTCCTCCTCCTCCTCCTTCTCCTCCTCCTCCTCCTCTTTCTCCTCCCCCTTCTCCCCTCACTCCTCCTTCTTCCATGCGTTTCACCCACCCAGCACAGCGCTTCGTGGCCCCATAAAGTGGGACCGCCCGCATGCGTCCGCCTACACCCAACTTGGCATTGTCACCCACCCTGTACAGCAGTTCGTGGCCCCATAGGGAGCTCCACCGAAGCCCCCAGTGGAACCGCCCGCATGCGTCCCCCACGCCCAATCCGGCATTTTCACCCACCCAGTACACCCCCAGTGGGACCGCCCGCATGCGTCCCTCACACCCAACTTGGCATTGTCACCCACCCAGTACAGCGTTTCGTGGCCCCATAGGGAGCCCCACCGAAGCCCCCAGTGGGACCGCCCGCATGCGTCCCCCACGCCCAATTTGTCATTTTCGCACGCCCAGTACAGCGATTCGTGGCCTCATAGGGAGCCCCACCGAAGCCCCCAGTGGGACCGCCCGCATGCGTCCCCCACGCCCAATTTGGCATTTTCGCACACCCGGTACAGCGCTTCGTGACCCCATAGGGAACCCCACCGAAGCCCCGTGGTACCGCCCACATGCGTCCCCCACACATCCAAGTTGGCATGTTCACCCACCCAGTACAGCGTTTCGTGGCCCCATCGGAACGCCCGCATGCGCCCCCCACACCCAACTTGGCATTGTCACCCACCCAGCACAGCGTTTCGTGGCCCCATAGGGAGCTCCACCGAAGCCTCCACTGGGACCGCCCGCATGCGTCCCCGACACCCGATTTGGCATTTTCACCCGCCCAGTAAAGCGTTTCGCCGCCCCATAGGGAGCTCCACCGAAGCCTCCAGTCGGACCGTCCGCATGCGCCCCCCACGCCCAATTTTGCATTTCCGCCCACTCGGTACAGCGCTTCGTGACCCCATAGGGAGCCCCACCGAAGCCTCAAGTGGTACCGCCCACATGCGTCCCCCACACATCCAAGTTGGTATTTTTCGCACACCCAGTACAGCGTTTCGTGGCCCCATCGGGAGCCCCAGCGACGCACCTAGTGGGACCGCCCGCATGCGCCCCCCACACCCAACTTGGCATTGTCACCCACCCAGTACAGCGGTCCGTGGCCCCATAGGGAGCTCCACCGAAGCCCCCAGTGGGGCGGGCCGCATGCGTCCCCCACACCCAAATTTGGGATTTTCACACACCCTTTACATCGCTTCGCGGCCCCATGGGGAGCTCCACCGAAGCCCCCAATTGGACCGCCCGCATGCGTCCCACACGCCTACTTTGGTATTTTCACCCACCCAGTGCAGCGCTTCGTGGCCTCATAGGGAGCTTCACCGACGGCCCCAGTGCTACCGCCCGCGGGGGAGGAGGGAAGAGGGAGGAGGGAGGAGGCGGGAGGGAGGAGGGAGGGAGGGAGGTGGCCAGTTGCAAGCTGGTGCGACCCGTCAGCTCTCAGCCAGGTGCCTGCCGCGTGGGTGCCATCTTGCGCACGCCGTCGTTTTTTTCGGGGTCCGCCGGCCCGCGCGTCCCCCGCGGCGGTCGCATCCCAGTTTAGTACCATGCACTGCGGGCAATCAAAGCTTTCTGCGGAGCCCGGAAAGAAAAGAGGGAGTACGGATCAGGAGAGATCGGGGGTGGACAGACCCCTCACCTTGACACGTCGATCAGTGAATTGTCCGTTTTCGGTTCTCGAGAGGGCGCCGCGGCCGTCATTTTCCAGGCTTGCGCCCGCCAGGTCTGGGCCCGAGGTCGTTTTCACTAAAGCACGTTTTGCCAAAGGGGGTTCTGTCCATCCCCGGGGGAGTACGGATCATGGGACAGAGAGGAGGAGGTGAGGGGGGTGGGAGGAGGGGAGAGGGGAGGAGGACTATGTTTTCCCAGCCCTCCTTGGTCGGATATTCGTTTTGAATAGAGCACTGTGGTGTCGTGCCTCCTTCTCCTCCCGCCTCCCGCCTCCCTCTTGTCTCCTCTCGCGTTGTGGGTGCCGCGTGTGTGTGCGTGCGCATCTTGCATGCGGTACCTCTTGTGTGCATCTTGCCTGGGGGGCTGCGACCTTCGATAATGTCGCCACTTTCGAGGGCTGCTGGTGGGTCCAGCGGAGTGAGGCACCGCGCGGATCAGAGCGGGACCTCGCCGTCCCTGGGGGGCTGCGATCTGCGAAACTGTCGCCACATTCGAGGGCTGCTGGTGGGTCCAGCGGAGTGAGGCATCACGCAGATCTGAGCGAGACCTCGCCGTCCCGGGGGGGCTGCGATCTGCTAAACTGTCACCACTTTCGAGGGCTGCTGGTGGGTCCAGCGGAGTGAGGCACCGCGCAGATCTGAGCGAGACCTCGCCGTCCCTGGGGGGGGGCTGCGATCTGCGAAACTGTCGCCACTGTCGAAGGCTGCTGGTGGGTCCAGCGGAGTGAGGCACCGCGCAGATCTGAGAGAGACCTCGCCGTCCCTGGGGGCTGCGATCTGCGAAGCTGTGCCCACTTTCGAGGGCTGCTGGTGGGTCCAGCGGAGTGAGGCACCGCGCAGATCTGAGCGAGACCTCGCCGTCCCGGGGGGGGGGGACTGCGATCTGCGAAGCTGTCGCCACTTTCGAAGGCTGCTGGTGGGTCCAGCGGAGTGAGGCACCGCGCAGATCTGAGCGAAACCTCGCCGTCCCTGGGAGGCTGCGATCTGCGAAACTGTCGCCACTTTCGAAAGCTGCTGGCAGCGGAATGAGGCACTGCGCAGATCTGAGCGAGACCTCGCCGTCCTTGGGAGGCTGCGATCTGCTAAACTGTCACCACTTTCGAGGGCTGCTGGTGGGTCCAGCAGCACAGTGAGGTACCGCGCAGATCTGATCGAGACCTCGCCGTCCCTGGGGGGCTGCGATCTGCGAAATTGTCGCCACTTTCGAGGGCTGCTGGTGGGTCCAGCGGAATGTCGCCGTCCCTGGGGGGCTGCGATCTGCGAAATTGTCGCCACTTTCGATGGCTGCTGGTGGGTCCAGTGGAGCGAGGCACCTCGCGGATCCGAGCGAGACCTCGCGGTCCTTGTCGCCACGTTCGAGGGCTGCTGGTGGGCCCAGCGGAGCGAGGCACCGCGGGGATCTGACTCGCCGTCCCTGGGGAGGGGCTGCGATCTGCGAAACTGTGGCCATTTTTGAAGGCTGCTGGTGGGTCCAGCGAAATGAGGCACTGTGCAGATCTGAGCGAGACCTCGCCGTCCCTGGGGGGGGGCTGCGATCTGCGAAACAGTCGCCACTGTCGAAGGCTGCTGGTGGGTCCAGCGAAGTGAGGCACCGCGCAGTTCTGAGCAAGACCTCGCCATCCTTGGGGGGCTGCGAGCCTCACGAATGCCGCTCGCAGAATTATAGGCGCCCATGTCACGTCATCACCTCTGCATAACGTGTCCCAGGCTACTCGTGCCCCGCATTGCGCAGGGGTTGGGTACGTCGCCAGGATAAGTCCCAACCATCCTGTGGTGTTGGTTCCTCGTTTTGAAGAGACGGTCCCCGCGTTCCTTTCCTTCTCCTCTCCTCTTCCTCCCCCTCCTCCCCTCCATCCTCCTTTTTCCATGCGTTTCACCCACCCAGCACAGCGCTTCGTGGCCCCATAAGGAGCTCCAAGGAACCTCCCAGTGGGACCGCCCGCATGCGTCCCCCACACCCAATTTGGCATTTTCACCCACCCAATACAACACTTCGTGGCCCCAAAGGGAGATCCACCGAAGCCCCCAGTGGGACCGCCCGCATGCGTCCCCCACACCCAATTTGGCATTTTCACCCACCCAGTACAGCGTTTCGTGGCCCCATAGAAGCTCCAGAGAAGCCCCCCTGGGACCGCCCGCATGCGCCCCCCACACCCCATTTGACATTTCCACCCACCCAGTGCAGCGCTTCGTGGCCCCGTAGGGCGTTCCACCGAAGACTCCAGTGGAACCGCCCGCATGCGTCCCCCACGCCCAATTTGGCATTTTCACCCACCCAGTACAGCGCTTCGTGGTCCCATAGGGAGCTCCACCGGAGCCCCCAGTGGGGCCGCCCACATGCGTCCCCCACATCCAATTTGGCAGTGTCACCCACCCAGTACAGCGCTTCGTGGCCCAATAGGGAGCCCCACCGAAGCCCCCAGTGGGACCGCCCGCATGCGTCCCCCACACCCAATTTGGCATTTAAGCCCCCAGTGGGACCGCCCGCATGCGACCCCCACCCCCAATTTGGCATTTTCAACCACCCAGTACAGCGTCTCGTGACCCCATAGGCAGCTCCACCGAAGCCCCCAGTGGGACCGCCGCCCGCGTGCGCCCCCTACATCCAATTTTGCATTCTCACCCACCCAATACAGCGTTTCGTGGCCCCATAGGGAACCCCACCGAAGCCCTCATTGGGACCACCCGCATGCGTCCCCCATACTCAACTCGGCACTGTCACCCACCCAGTACAGCGCTTCGTGGCCCCATAGGGAGCCCCACCGAAGCCCCCAGTGGGACCGTCCGCATGCGTCCTCCATGCCCAAGTTGGCATTTTCATCTAC